GAACACTACACTTGTCTTCATTTACTCTGTATTAATGTCCCCTGACAATGAAGATGAAGAAAAAAACAGAGAACAGAGAAAAGGAAGATACAACACAAAACAAAGGATTATTATTCATAACCGGAATCAATCATAAAAACTTTTACAGTCGAGATTTTTTTTTCAGGCGTGTGAACTGAACGCTGCGTGCGCACCGTTCGTCTTTTTTTGTATGTGCAAAAAATCACAGCATACACACAAAATATTGAAAAAGAATGAATGAAGAAAATGGAATAAGAAGAAAAAGTGGCCAAAATGATTCAATAAAACACCTTAATTCCAGAAGCTTGCAGAAAATAAGATAACAACGATAGCATCACAAAAAGTAGAAAAGAAGAGAAAAAAAACCGTCCCGATCCAGAATTGAGATCCAGAACGAAGTCAACAACAACAATTAAAATAATGACAATCATCATCATTGTCATCATCATCATGGACAATCATTAATAATAACATAGGAAGCGAGAGAGAAAAAAATGAAATGAATGAATGAATATAAAAAAACGAACGAACGAATAAAGCGAGCGAATTACAAAAAGCATTCTTTCTGCTTCCAAAGCGAATGAAAAAAACGACCAGAATTACCTTACAATTCGATTACAGATCAATATATTATAGCATCCGTGCTACACAATTACAATTGCTCCGCACACATGCACACACTTATTCACACTCACACGCAACACAGTAAGATACTCGAAATTCGACAAATAAACATCTTAAAGAGGTACGATGTTTTCGTTTTGATGTCAGTCTCGTTGTTTTTTTTTTCACTCGCTCTTCTTTCTCCCTTCTCATCCGTGTTGCTGCTGCTGCTGCTGCTGCTTTTTTTCATGATTATCATTGTTATTTGTTCTCCTTTTGAACGTCGTTTCATTGATTTCATTCATTCATTGATTCATTCATACGATCGCTCATTCATTCATTCATTTTATGTTGTTTGCCATTTGTTGTAACTCCACTGAGCGATGCATAAGTCCACTTTACAGCTCGGTCATATGAGCGTGTACAGTGAGCGGCTCACAGTGCATATGCATTGCATGCATTCGAAAGTGGCAGAGAGAGAGAGAGAGAGAGAGAGAGAGAGAGAGAGAGAGCGTGAGATTTTGTATGCACAGTACATTTGCAATGTACTTATGTAAACTCTCTTGAAAAGGTGAACAAATGTGTGCTCCATGCTCTTAGGTAAAATCATATATATGTGTAAATCGATCATCTCTTTCCTGCGCACACTTGCTTTTATTTATTCGATTCTTAGCGTTTTTTTTCTCTCGTCATTTCTGTTTCTACATGCTCATTTTTTTATTTATCGTCAATCTTTGTGTGTTGTTGATTTTTTTCTTCTTCTAAACACTCTGTCTCTATCTTTTTTGATCTTCGTAAGTGCTTGACAGAGATTTTCCATTTTTTTCTCTTTTACATTTGAAAAAATAATACCGAATGAATTAGGATCTATCGAATGATAGTGTTTTGGTGATCGTTTATGATGTCATCACGAATTGGCCCAAATTGTTTCCTTCGATTGCATCATTCATTCCTCCGAAATGATTCATGCTCATCGTTTTGAAACCACGATCCACTTTTGGTCTCAACAAAACAAAAATCCCGCTGTTTTCGCTGCAACCTATCATTATACACAAATCTCAAACAAACACAAAACTCATTCGTCGTGATTTCTGCTCGCTCTTCACTCTTGCACTCTCATCCACTCGTTGCCGCCTGCCTATAGTTGTTGTCTTTCCCTCATATTTTTCGGTGTGAGATATTTTACGTTATTTGTAAATACATACCGGATTCACCAGTGTATGGGTTTTCATTCAAGTTTCTTTATCGTGCGCGGTTTGTTGTTGTTGGAGTTTTGTTTTTGTTATTATTGCCTAGCTGTTCTCCATACGATGATGTGCGTATGTTTGTTTGTGTGCATGTGTGTATTCATTTTCTACTCTTCTCTTCGGTTTCATTGTTAAATATTTATTTATTTTCTTTCATCTCTGTCGTTCAATTCTCCTTCTTGTTGGCCGTTTCGTTTTCTCTCTCTCCCTCTCTCTCTCTTACTCTGTCTCCCGCTTTTCTTACGGCTTGCATGAACGCATATATATATACGGGTATTTTTTTCTTCTTTCGTTGTTTTTGCCTTCATTTCTTGCCTGTTGCGCGCTGTTGTTCAGGTTGTCGTGTTCAGATTCTTACATCCGATTTAGTTTTGCTTGGAATGCTGAAGTGAATAGAGTGCATATGACTATTTGACTGACAGAACCTGTAACAAATTTACGCCTTAAACATAAACATCGAGTTATCAATCGCAAATTAAATTCAAAACATTCTCGCGTAAATTGTTTTTTTTTTTATTGACAAGTGTTAGAGAAAGAGACACAAACAGAGAGAAAAAAAAACAACAATAACGAAGAAAGAAAATGTATGTGTGAATTAGTGGAAAATTGATTTAATTCGTTTCAATTGAAATTCTGAGCAATTCGCGCAATTGCACTTTAAACGAACACATGAGCTAAAATTGCAACGCTACACCAAATAAATATTTGTAAACACAAAACATTGACCGTTTTAACGTGACCGAAAAAAAAGAGAGTGTTTTATTTTAAATAAAAAGTCAACTTGCCATATCAGTGACACAGAGATTGTTTGCCAAAAAAAATTTAAATACGAAAATTATTGAATATTAAAAAGCCAATTTTTCTTTTTCTTTCGTGTGTGTGTGTGTGCACCGTGAATGTAATTTCATTCTGGCGATCGATACGCGAAAGAAAACCGACGAGAAAGAGAGAGAAAAAGGCACATTTTTTGTGCAACAATAATACAAGAAAGGAGAAACAAATATATTTTGCGGACACACCGTAATCAGTAAGCATACGAGCAAAGTTGTAAAACGAACAAAAAAAAAAAAAAACAGAAAAAATACAGGCCACAATAACTAACGTTACGTGTTTGGCGCGTTGCCACTTTGAGAATCGTGTTTAAAAAATATATATATCGAGACTGTCAATCTACAGACACTTGCATTGGCTGCTGCTAATTCTTTTTTTATTTTCATCGTGTTGCCGTATTTCATTGGGTACGTAATGTGTGATTTGTCAAATTTGTTGTTTGTGTGAGCAAATATTCTTTTTGTTGTGGTTGTTGATATTTTGCTGTTCCCTCACGAGTTGCCATTCAGTTTTTTTTTATTTTGCGCTGTTGTTGTTGGATTTGAGTAATTTAGAAATATTGTATAGTAATTATGGCGTTGATTGAATCGATTATATACTATCAATTATTGTATTTTTGCTGCGCTATACACCACACTCACAAAAAAAATACATTCAGATGACGACGACAGGCAAACCAGCCTATTGAGTATATATTATAATATTGCGTATGCATATGTTACCTAAGACTAAAAACCAACAACAATAACATACACTCGATAGCGAATTACGTTGAACGAGATATACATTTCTTTTCTTGTCGCTGTCCTAAAAAGCGGTTTGTCGTGTTTTGGAGCTATGTTTATGTGCACTCTTGATCCTTTTGTTGATCATATTATTATTATTGTTGTCGTTATATTCTTTGCGCGCAATCGTTCCAAAAAGCCTTTCGTCGTATTTTAAACATTCTACTATTATGATTGGTTTTTTTCACGGTGCCCAAGCGAGTGTGATGCAGAGTCTTTGAATGCAAAGGAAATTCAATTCAAGCGTTTTTTCTCTCTTTATATTCTTTCAATATGGTTTGTGTGTGTGTGTCTGTGTTGTGTGCTCTCTGGGTTTTGTTGAGTTTGTTGTCGTTGGGCTTTTGTTGTGATTGCACTAAAAATATGTATGTGCTTTTTTTTGTTCTACTCTTGGAATTTAATTCAATTAGTCTTTCTAGGAAGTGGACATACAATAATTATTCAAGAGACTATATGCTGTTTGTATGCGCTAGACAAATCTCTTGTATTTCAAAGGATATGTAATTGAAGAATTGGACAGGGAAAACAATGCTCAATTCCTATTCTTCCCGCCCATAACGAAAGCGATCGAATGATAGTATGCACACAATTTTCTATTCATTCGGTTTATTATGCCATTGAAAATCCAAAACATCATCAATTCAAAGAATAAACAAATACACTGCTATAAAACTCTGCTCACTGAAATTCGATGCTCGATGGTTGAGAGAATAAAAATGCAGACGATAAAATGTTAGTTTTGGCATTTGTTTTTCTTTTCTGGTCAATAAATTCAATGCGAGCCATTTCTTTACCAAATCGAGTATTTGTAAATTGAACATTGCAATGATTTGCCACATACGCATCTACTATTAATGTGCTACAGCATCGATGTCACCGATTTGGTGATGTTAGCTTCAGTATCGGTTTATTTCTATGTAAAAAGGAAGCAGGTCTTTAAGTTGTTGTTTATGTGTGTGTGTGTTTTTTTTTTGCGCAATGAAAGCCAATCCTACTTTTATCTTTATCATAGTATCATTCCAAATGATATACATTTCTCACACAGTGTGTACACGGCAAATGGTAAGCAAAGCAAGAGGAAAAACCAACATGAAAATCATCATCTCAAATAACACAGAGCGAAGAACGTTAAACAAATGTTTGAAATGAATTACGAAACATTTACGATCGGATGTCCGTTGTATACGCGCTGTGCCAATGGCAATAACAACAACAACAACAGCCAAGAGAAGAGAGAAAAGAAGAAAAAAACAGCGCAAAGCAACACACGACCGACAAGAATGAACGGAATGATCGAGAAACCGGGGAAGAGTGAGAGATAGAGAGACGAGCGAAAGAGCTTGTGTAAGCTGAAGATAGAGAGAAAAATGTTAAGATTCTGGAATGTGTTCGACCGGACTATTTAATGGAATGTTGAGATGCTGATATAGCTATTCCATATTACAAACAAACGAATAATCAATTACAATAGCTCCGCACGTAACGTCCATAAACAGTGGAGAACAATACGATGAAGAGAAGATGAAATATCTATCTGTTGCCATTGAGCATACAGGTATCTCTTTGCTGTTTGCTGCTTGCATGTAGCCCATTTTTTTCTTGCTCTCCTCCTGTAAGCACATTTTAAACAGTTCGGTTGCCTCTCATTCATACAATTCGATTTCCTCGTCTTTGTCTCTCGCTCGCACTTCGTTTTACCGATCTTATTTCTGATTTAAAGTGGTGTAAATTATTGGTGCTGCTGCTTTATAATCTTTTCAATATAAATTCATACGTCTGTCGCCTGGCTCTCGGTGCCAGTCTTGTAGACATTTTTTTTTCTCTTCTCTTCATTCTCACCTCGTTGTATGTGTTTATTTTTTTTTTCGCTTCAGTTTTGCTGTACCTTGCTTGCCTTTCAATAAATTTATCTATTAAAACAGGTTAAAAGGTAATTAACCAAACGAGAGCTCACAACGCACAACACCTTTCGATCATCGATCTACTGCATGCATGAGACAAACGATACATCAGAGAGAAGAAGAAAAAAACAATTTCATTCATTCCGTTTTTGTTGGCATTGCTGCCGTTGGTGTTGCGCGCTTTATTTGGTTCACTCATTCACTCATTCATTCATGATTCAATCAGTGAATGAATACCCATACTATAGCGCGCCAGCGCACAAGCACTCTGACTGCAATCGCTCACAATTCAACCGTTCTCGCTGCTGTACATGTACACATGACACTATTTAACACACCAATACCTTTTTTATTGGATGTTTCATGCTATGCAATATTTATATATCGAGGTAGCGTGCTCTCCTAACTCCATTCATGCATTGCAAAGTAGCATTGCTATTGTTGACCGTTAATTTCGAATATCCAATTCTAAAAATCTATCTCATTTTCCTTCATATTTTTTTTCTCCTCTGCTATTGTATTCATACAAAAAAAAAGAACACTTTCAAAGAATATTTCAATCATAATAATATTTTCCACAAAAGGCCAAGAGAAAAAAAATTGAACTTTTTTCATTGTATCCTGTCGATATCGATGACTTTGTTTTCATTCAAAAGTCCTTGTGAATAATTCAATGTGATTCGTCATGATACGATAGAGAGAGAGAGAACGAGAGCGAAAACTATATATAAAAAAGAAAATATTCTATTGTTTCCGAGACGTTGGTCAGAGTTCATTATTTTGTATCGAGCGAACGAAGAAAGAGAAAAACAAAATATATACAAAACAGCAGTCCGTTGATATCGTAACAGCGGAAAAACGAATTGCTAATGCCTAACACACGTATAATCAACATCGATCACGTTCATTTGAATTTCATTAAATAACGAGTTGTACACGCGTGCTGCCTATTCCATATACCTGAACACGTACCCAAGAACAGTTTGTATACAACATAAAATCGACATAGAGTGAGAAAAAAAAAACCAAAAACAACAACAACGGCAATGACGTGAAATTACAAACCCGCGATAAATAGAGGCGATTTTTTATGTTTTATGGATGTTTCCTTTCCTCTTACTCGCTTCTTTGCCATTGATGTTTTTCTCAATGAAATTTCAACTGAAACTTACGAAAAAAAACAACAACAACAAAAACAACAAGAAGTAGAATAACATGAGCAGCGAACAAGAGCATCAAATGCCAAAGGAAATCGAGGAAGGAAAAGAATAGCAAGAGAGGAGAAGAAAAAACATCGCATCACAAGACAAAATGTGCGTGTATCAGCAACTCGTTCGCGTATTTATAATTTGAACAAAACACACATCGTGCAGACTTGAATGAATTGAGTAAAAATCTGCGTCGACCGTTGTTTTCGTACGATATATATTTTATGAAATTTCTTTCCACTTCGAACCACCGGATGAGATCACAACGACAACAAATAAAAACCGAATTTAAAATTTAAAAAAACAACAACAAAAGCACGACATGAGGAATCCGACGTATCTTGTGTTGTTGAGCTAAACAGCAGCAACAACTATTTTCCCTCTTGAAAGAGTGTGCATGATAAGCATAACAAGAGAGAAAGAGCGATTGAAAAAGAGAGAGAGAGAGAAACATCGAATGCCAAAGAAGTAAATGTCTTTTGAATCATTTGCAACGAAAATTGCATCGTAATTTGTATATTGACGAGATCGTGCTCTCTCACAGAAGGGCATCACCAAAGCAAAGTGCAAAACCACATTACGGTTGCATTCAATATTGCAATTGATCGCATCGTTCGCTCTGCATATCGTTTCCCTCGTCGTCATTGTTGTTGAACGTCTTCTTTCCTCTTTGCCACCATAGAAACGAATGCGGATCACATTTAAATGCTCAATCAATTTTACAGTTTCGTTTTTTATTTTTTTTTTCTCTCCCTTTTCTGCACTGTGTGTGTCGATTCGTTGTGTGTCGACGCGCGATCAAATTCGAATTCGATCGAGAGTGTATATCGATTTTTCTCTTGACTTTTTATTCATTTCAAATTCTGCTATCTCGTTTTTTTCTCGCTCTCTTTCTCCATTCAATCGTATATTAAAATAATAATAAACGCATGGATTGTATTGAAATCGTAGAAATCGAATGGAATTCCATTGAAAAAAGTTGATTTTGTAATTGAAAATGATTGATAATCTTTGAATTATGTGGTGCCGGTGTTCGTCGCGCTATCTCTTCAGTTTTTTTTTGTCTTCTTCTTCTCTATTTGCCGCGCGCACATAGAATGCTGTGTACAGGCAATCCCCCCGAGTTCAAGACAGAGACGACAAATTATCGTGTCGAGTATACCGGGCGAATTGAAGAGTGAGAAAACGACACAAATAATAAAAAAAGAAACGCTGAATACCAAGAGATGAAGAAATTTAATCAATTCGTGTTTTCAACTCGCATTCATATCGTTTATACATATATATATGTAACCAGTACTCGAATGAACTGGTCGGCGCGCATCTGTTTTAGTTCACCATAGAAATATTTGAAATTATTTGAATTTTTTCAAGGAAATTTATGTGATTTTTTTTTTCTCTTCTCATCTTGTATAGTATATACCTCATCCGTTGCTTATTTTCTAAAATTCTATCTCTTCTTGTTCGCATACTCACAAATTGGCTATGAAACTATCCAAAATCGATTGAATTTTGATTAATTTTCAGTCGCATGTTGAAAATCAGATATTTTTTGTTTCGTTCGTATGTTAGAGCGATGAATGAGATATCATGTGTAGTTTTTTCACATTGAACTATTTATTGGCTGAACATTTAACTCACATTTTCCAAAAGAAAAATTTTATAGCTCGCAATATTTATATTGTTTCTTTTTTGTTTTCTCTCTTGCCACAGATGCACTTCTATTTGATGACATTTGATGAGATCGATGGTAATTTGTGAATCTGATGTGATGTGATAAAAAGCAACAACAAAATATTTATAGCGACCGCAGAACCTGTGCTCAAATGACAATTGCGATATAGATGCAAATCAACACAAAATTCATAAGAACGTAACCGATACCCAAAACCGAATACACACGAAAACAAAACCAAAACGGAAACCAATTCTCTTACTTATTAACTTGGCATTAGGAGCCGCACATCAACACTGAACAAAAATGAACTTAACGAAACCATTACACATGTATTTCGTACTAATTTTACTTGCATGCATTCGAAATGGCATCTACGGTACACGAATACCACTGGAAATTGTACAGCTGGAGAGTGGTACACGACTAAATGATGAAAAAATTGCAAACACTGAATATCAGGTGCACGATGTAGATGACCTGGCTTACATTTCAAATAAGCATAATAAAAATGCGACCAAAACTGATGATTGGTTCACGCGATTCACATCAAATCGTAAAACGATTCAAGAGCCGCGCATTTTCTATCAAGTTGGCGTAAGTATTTTTTTTATTTATTTTCTTTCGTTTGAATAATTATTATAAACAAATATAAATGCCATGAAATGAGATCACAAATGATTTTTAGTGATCCTATTTTTAAATGAAGATTAAACTCAACCTCGCCTATATTTGAATAAAAACGGTTTATATTTTGTTGTGTTTATTTTTGTTTTGGGGTTTGGTATTTATCTCGTGTTTTTTTTGTTTCGTTTTTCGATTCTTTTCGGTGTTTGTTTAGTCATCGGAAGATGATTTGCCGATATGTGGAACGAACGAAGTGTGTTCAAAGATTGATTTATACGGAACACCATGGATCGAACGGCAATGCCGTTGCCCACCGACAAAGCATCATCATATCTTCGAGGGTGCCATTGAAACGGGCAATGAAAGAAATAGCATTCTCAGTGCACGTAATCGCCATGCAATTTTACACAATTTAAAACTCAGCGAGACCACCGGAAATCTTTATGATTTTGAAAGTGAACACATTAAAAATGTTCTCATTAAATTGGGCATGCTACACAATGCCGAAGATAGTTTAATCAAAGAAGCTGAAGAGTATATGAACGAAAATGATGCATCCGATGAACTAAACTATTCGGAGGAGGAGAGTTTTTCAACGAATTTTCCACGAAATCATCGACATCGAATGCAAAACAATGAAGCCATCGAAATGGTGAAAATGACAAAAATTCGACATCACAACAATGTACATGGACAACATGCACAACCAAGTGGACAATGTTCGAATGCGATTACATCAAACGATGGCTATACAATTGCTGATAAAACACGAATGTATAAAATGTGCGAACCCGTTCAAAAATTGCCATTGTGCAGGTAATGATTCAATGTCTAATAATAAAAAAAAAAACAATAACAATTTTCATATAAAAGGATCATTTCCTCAATTTAAGAAAAGCACTTTCAAATTATTAGCTTACTACTGTTATTTATGTGTACGCAGATATTTCCGTGATTATACATGGACACTTGTGTCATACTCTGACATGAATATAACACAGCAAATCGTCAACTGTCGTTGCCCCAAAAACTCGATCAGCTATCTAATAAAACGTGAACCGCTTAAAACCGGTGCACTTGGATACACATATTTGTTCGCGTGCTCACCACAAAGCGTAAGTATTGCGCATACATATATATATTCAATCAAAATTGCAATAAAAACAATGTAATTTATGTGTTTCAAAGAAGTGATTGAAAAGAAGCAAGAGAGAGAGTAAAAAAGTAACGAGTGGCGTTTATTTGATATAATAAAATTTAAATTGGACGTATTTTTTTTTATTCTTCTTTACGTAATCTACAGAGATTGAAGTGCCAACGAAAGGAACCGTGCAAGCTGTTCACCGTGCGCAAGCGACAAGAGCAAGTCGATGAAGTCAATACGAATGTGTTATGCCAGTGTCCGCGTAACTACAGATGCCCAAAATTGCACACCGATGTCGGCGTCATTCTTGGAAAGAACTACGTCGAAGATAACATTCGAACATATTCCGGATTTTGTTTACAGGATATTCATTGAGCATTGCAAACGCACGATTTTAATGTTAATATTTGTAAAATAAAACAAAAAACAAACAACGAAATCAACGATTTATGACTTTAAACAGAAAATCGCATCAGAATGCAACGACGACAATTTTTTTTATACAATGTGTGTGTGTTTCAAAATCCCTTAGTCCTAAGAATCAATTTTAAAATTTGCAAATTATATAAAATGCCATGGTTAATAATAATAATAACTTGTATAATTTAACGATGCAACGATTTTGAATGAAACGAAAACAGAAAAATTATCAAGAATAAACGATCGGCAATTGAACGCACGTGTGAAAGTGACACGAACGAAATGAAAATGAGTAAGAAAAATGAAAGAAAAAAAAACGATGTAAATTTTTTTAGAAATTAATTGATTTGTTTTACGTACTGTATAATATTTATAATTACATTCCGATTTTATTTAGTTTTTGTGTTTGCCTATGTATAATTTAATGAGAATTTAAATTGTGTACTCGAAAAAAAGCGAAGAATTAAACAAGAAAATGAGAATCAAATAGATTGATCGTTATGCGACCAAAATTCGTGTAAATAAATGGATTACTTGTGTTTGCTTATGCATTAAAGAAAACCCCGTTCGAAAGGTAAGATAGAAAAACTCACTGTTTGAGCACTTTATGGTCGCCTCTTTCATTCCATTCTTTTGCCGGTTACAGTAAGATATTGAGCGAAAAACATATGTGGGTAAATATTTAATGAGTGTAGAAGACATGGTTTCCACTCAAAACCTGGTTTAATTTCACCTTGATCGACTAGATGTCAGTGTGATCGAAATGATCAAAGCTTGATCATTACAAAAGCTTCACTTCAACCCAGTTAGCACCATCTCAAACTGAAGCACTCTCACGGCACGTATAATATGATCTCAACGAGAATAATAATGCGAGGAAAAACAATCCGATCGAGATAAATAGAGACGTTGAAAGTTTAATTATCTTTCAAGAATCATTTACAATGTTGAAAGATTAATCTTGTTATTAGGCTTGAATGCAAAAGTTATTTGAGGCTTGCAAAAAAGAAAATACATACACAAAAAATGAAAGTCTTTTTGGCATCTGGTAAATGAACTGTATCATACCTAAACGACTTTGATATTGGAAAATAGAATTTTGAATCGGTTGCTCTTTCAAAGAGTAATTAGATAGGAAATTGAGCACCAACAAATTGCCGCTGGTGAGCAAACAGATTGCGATGATAAAACAATAGAAACGAAATCTCGAAATTTAAACATCATGGGATTTCTTTTATTTTATCTTCATTTTCTTATATTTCGTTCTCCTGCTATATTTGTGATCGAAAACTATTTGCCTACCATTAAATCATTGAGAATGCCTGGCAGCGGTATATGAAAATGAATACACTGTATGTATATATTGTTTGGATTTTATTTGGAAAGACAGGTAAAACAACACATCTCATCGAAACGGCACAAAAGAACTACATTTCAATTCAAATACTTTCTTCATCATGTGAAATTAACTTCGTTTAATTTGTCGGCAGCCTTTTTTTTCATTCCATCAATTTTAATAAGTCATTTGAAATTCTTATCACTGTGCGATCCATCTCAATTTTTGCATCCACATTTTGTTTGCTCGTCGTCTCAATTCCGACAATTTCATTACGTGAGTTCATTCGCTTGGATTGGAGTATGCGCATTCGCGCATACCCAACATGCATGTCATCAATACGAAATCTTTTTGCGTGTTGTATCTCATTTTCAAGCCATGTTCAATGCTCCTTTCTTTCAATGATGATCAATTGTATGGTTTGGACCTCATACATTTCTAGATCTACTAACATTGTAAATGTTGTTGTTGGTATTGTTGGCGCCAATACACGGAATAAACGTATGAATGTAGATTTTACGCGCATTGAAAATGAATACGATGACATATTTTGATTTGGAACCATAATCGTACCAATTTCTCTACCATATAATATAAATATATAAAAGTTTTATTGAGTTTTTGGGCGCGCAATAAAAGTACGAACATTGCTTTCATACACGGAATATTGTTCATTTATTCGCTCATTCATCGTAGCGAATACTATAAAGATGCTATATAAATATACTAATATACCATAAAATACTATATGGCTTACATTCACGAGCTTCTGTGCCGATGACACTTGATACAAATTGTGTGTGCATATCTCTTTCCGTTTCTACTTTTTTTTTCGTCGTAGCATCGAATGGTTTTCCCAACATCAATATAAAGTACTGATATACATAGAAAGAGAGAAGGAGAGAGAGAGAGAGAGAGAGAGAGAGAGTGAGAGAGAGAGAGAGAGAGAGAAGAGAAACGTTTAAATCTCTTGAGTAAATCGATTAATAGTGGCAGCAGAACCACATGAAAACAAAAACAGCGCACAGAGAGAATCGAAGCAATAAGCAGAACATGATTCGAAAATAAGAAGAGCACACGCATATTGAATGACGAACAATCGTCGGTTTGCGGCATGCAACAAAGCTAACGACAAAGCAACATAACCATTTTGTTGAAAGTGAAAGTTACATAATTGTTGGCAATTTTTTTGATATCTAAAACTTAAAAAGATGAACTATCGAATTGCTCATTTCAACACATGATTATCTTATGCATTAGCTTGAACAAACTTTAGCTAGAATCTTTGCGCTTTTTTCATCGTCGAGATTTAACATCAATACGATGCCAACCATTTCGGATGAGTCATTCTGGGTGGAATTTGTTTTTAAGTGTGCTTTAATTCTTCATTCCGATGCGATCGAAAACTAATGGACATTGAGAATGGTGTAAAGAATAGCTTAACATTTTACCGACGACTTGATTTCCAATGATTGTAATGGTTTAAAATTACACTTGATTCGTAAAAAAGCCCACCCAATTAATAGATGTAAATTGTGCTACGAATATATAATTAACTAAATTGCTAAATTAAACATTGATCTTTTCAACACAATTCAAACAGATACATTCACAATAAAACATACAAAATTGTTGTTGTCTTTGAATGGAAATAATGGAGGGTAATCAATAGCACCGTGAATTGGAAATTAACCAATTAATTTGTCATTACAATTGACCACTGCTTTTGTTAACACCTTTACAACTTGTTTCCAAAATCGATGGACAAAAAAATTGAAGTTTTTTTATCGCAAAAAATGAGGAACACATTTTTTGACAAAAGATTCGCTAATTTGTTGCAATTTTTTTTCGAATAGTTCATCCCAGAAAAGGGAACATGCAGAATTTTGCTCAATTTGTCATAATAATTTGTTGTAAATAGCCAATGATGTCATTATCTCTTCTCTATTGTAAATTGTTTTGATTTATTTGAAGCATCAATTTAAAATATTTATCAATGCAAAATCGCTAGTGGAAAAACGGGCGTGTTGTTCGCGAATTTATGGAATCGTGTCATCAACGCACTAAATAATGTTTAATTGCTTTTGTGTGATGAAGCGAATAATTTTTCTGGGATTTTTTCAGCCGTATAGAATCTTTCTTCTCCAAAATATACAAAGCTGTGCATTTTTTGGGGCCAAAGTAAAATAATAACAGTTTTGAATTAATTTATGACTTCGATTTAGCATAACTTAAACACGGAAACCCGTTAACGACCGTTTCCATTGTAATTGATCTACGAATCGCTCCGAACAAGAGCAGAAAAAAAGAGTATCGCGAGTAAAAACAACATGAGAAAAGAAGGTGAGAATAAACATGCTAGCGTATAACACCTTTGAATAAATTAAACAGTCTACTATGTACGATTCATCATCAAATTTTTCTTCCAATGTTGACATAACATGCTACACAATCATCTCATTTACAATTAACGACAAAAACAAACTGGTCTACATCAATCGATAGAACAAATTAGTCCAACAATCTTTTGGTTTTTAATCATAGTGTTTCAGTGCAACACTGGAAAAATAGGCGGTTCAATAGAACGGGAGAATGTGAGAGCATGAGAGAGGAAAACACAGATAAAAAAGAGAATAAAAACGGCAAACGGAAAAAAGCAATCCGATTAAGAGATTCGATTGTGCACAGTAAAATGTTAGACAATAAAAGTGTAGAACCGTTTGCTCTTGATTGTTTTGTTACGTAAATCGGTGTGCGCTGTAGTAAATACAATTTTTGTAATATTTGCTTCTCATGAAAAAAAAAATCCAACAACAGTAGCAAGAAAAGAAGAAGCAAAAATGTTGACCGCTGATTTTGAAGCTCGTTGGGTTTCTTCCTTTCGAACCATTCAAGAAAAAAGGTGTTTCATTCGATGTCACAAGATAATGAACTCAGCAATATTAAACCTTTTTTATTTCTTATAAATTATTGCGTTCAAAATGGGAATGTTAAACAGAAAGAGAGACTGTGACCAGAAGCATATCAATGTTCGAGTAAAATATAATTTTTGCCAATTTTCGATATGTGTCACGCATTTTCATGTCAAAAATTCGATCATATATCAGAAATTTGAAGAAAATATTGACATCAAAGGTGTTCAATGTCCAAAAGTTTACTGAGGCGTCGCGTACCAAATTTACGCATTAGTTTTACAAACTTTGAAACACCGTGACTTAATTTTCTCGACAAAGAAAAAAAAGAGATTCTATCATATTTGCGTAACAGGGTGCTTGGTACGCACAATAGAAAGTCCATGGAAAAAAGACCGTAATAGAAAAACAACAACAATAAAATGTGTGTCTGCGTATGAACCGTTTCAACGCGCACATGGAATATGTTAAGCTTCACCGGTATCGATTACTCAACCGTTCGAATATATCGGTTAAAATTTATATGATTTAAATGCATAACACATTTATTTTGCTTCTCTATCTCTTTATCCAGATTTTTATGTGATAATTTATGCGGAAAATACTATTCAAACAGCTGATATGCGTATGTTAACGGACCATTCTGCGCCATGGGAAAAAATAGAATATCAATTCGATGCGATTAAATAACTCAAACACAATGAAGTGTCAAAAAATGGTTTGCAAACAAAAGAGAAATCGTTTTGATTCGACGTTCTGGTCTTAATGAGCTATATTACAAACATCGTTTGGCCGAGAAAGCATAAAGTAAATCAGTGTCATTTGTTTAGTAAAATTAAGCCATTTTGGAACTTATAACAAGATATTTAACGGCTATTAAGCGATTTTAAATGTATTCGCAAGATGTAGTCTTTCGTATTTGAATGTGATATCAGAATGTGAAAAGCGCAGGCGACGAACCCGTTGTTCTATTTAATAAAACACGTTATCTTATTCTTTCGTTTCAAAACGTAGAAATTCCTTTGCCATTCAACAGCCATTGGGAATTATGAAAACAATTTCATTTCCAACAAAAACGTTGCCATTCAACGAATTCTCCTCCGTACATTTTCTAAGTTGGTCGTTTTTTTTCCTTTTCAGATATCAGATTTGAATAGTTCAAACCCGTTCATTTTTCTTGCGTTGATAGTTTTTATTGTTGCTGTTGAGAGAGTGTGATGAAAGCTGCTGCGGCTGCTGCTGCTGTTGATCACATTCAGTCCATGCGATAAGTTTAATGAGCGAGCAAAAGATGTAAATGATGAATTGTTTTCGGAATTGCGTCAGTTGCGCGATGGGTTGTGTTGAGTTTGTCTTGAAGCTGAGCGGTCTTTGTTATTTTTCTTTCAAACCGGTACAATGCACACAAGCGCAAACATAGACATAAACTGCAGTTGGTTAAAATGTTCGAAAGCATGAATAATTTCACAAAAAAAAATGGTTTTTGTCACGATGAAAAAAAAAGTTCAAGTTTAAAAATATATATCATTATTTACTTTTCTCTCTTTCTATTTCCTATGCGAACGAAATATGATTCTCGTTTTTATGTTTTCTAGTCAGGTAATTTCGGCATCAGTTTATGTGGACGGTATTATTTTTTTATTGCATTTGTCTTCCTTTTGTTTTAACTGTTCATTTGTTGAACGTTGTGGTTGTTGTTTTTTCGTCGCATCTCTTGTTTACTTTTCTTTATGTAAATAACGAAAGTTTCATCACTTGGTCAAAGCGCATTCATCCATTCAGGCTTTTCGGCAATTGTTTGTTATTACTATGGATCATGAGAAGAGTAAGTTACTCATCTGGCGATGAGAGGAGTTCATTTGGTTACTTAAAACAAACATAAACACAAAAAAAAATTTTTGTCGTTCTTTGCTCTCAAACAAAAAGCAAATAAAAAGCATTTTAATTTTGGCTTTTCTATTTTGTTTACAATTTGCTTTTGTTTTCGGCACTTTGGAACACTTTACAAAAAATGTTCAACAATGAAACGAAGAAATGTGAACGAAGATCAGCATTTTAAGCGATAAATGCTAAAGACAAATGCAGAAGCTAATGACATATAAATTGGCCTCATTTTCCCACTGCAGATGTACTCTCTTGCGCTCAATTAGACTACATTATGATGGCGACGGCGGCAATTTTTGTGGTTTAAACATCGTATATTTTTTTTCATTACCAATTTCATCGTGTTTCACTTTCTCGCACGTACACTTGACTGTACACCGTGTGCGAGTGCGAGCGCATCTTCTATGCTAAGTAGTCATTCAAGCAAAGATGAATTCGTCCCATGACCATTTTTGAAATGTAATTGCTTTTTTAAGAGAAAAATTTCATTTTCTTTAATTATGGTGGATTTGTGTTTTAAAACGATGCTTTCGGTCGAAAGTGAAGAAAGTAAAAAAAACGAGAAGGCGCCAATTTATTTGAAAAAAAAAAGAGTTTTTTATCATTTCATGTCACAGAGAATAAATGGTATAAAAAGTGAATAGTTCAAGAAAAAAAACACCAACCAAATCACTTAGAATCAAAGCCAATTTTTGAACCAATGACCGAAATAATTACCAATGTTGACATTTACGGATACCGTCATCGCATACATTTACAATTTTGTAAATTACAACTGGGTAATTCAAAACGACACGCAAAATCATGTCTGTTGATATTGTATCAATAACGTGAATATTAGAAATAGTCGATTCGATGCTTAAATGTCATCAATTCTGTTGAGCGAAAGAAAGAAAGAAAGAAAAAAAAATTTATAATTTCACCGATTTTCCTCAATGTCGATTAAACCGCCAACATATATTTTCAGTGGTTTGGCACAATTTCGCTATTTGTATCTCTATAATTTTGCTGATTCGGTTATTTTTTTACTCATTCGCTTGTTGTTTTTTTTTATTCTTCGACGAATTATTAATTCATGCAGCGATTTTCGATCGCAATTTCATTGTCTCTTCTTAATTGTCTTGTGCTCTTTTGAAAGGTTCCTTGGTGTGGTGAATCATTTCGAATGAACAACAGCAATGGCAAACAAACAAAACAAGTGCCTTATGTGGGGTAACAACAAGCCTCTTTGACTGCATCTCGTATATTCATGGAATTGGATCGCACGACTCATTAAAGCCATAATAAAGAATGTATCACACATCATCTTCAACCATTCATTCCCCAACCGATTTTCGATTGGTTTCATCTGAAATTATTTTTTGTTTTTTATTCTCTGACATATATCTCATTTTTATAGTAGAAAATTTGTATAGGAACGACTCTTTTTTGTATAAACGAATTTCGTATTTCCGAAAATGAAGACGTTCTTTATTTGGGATTTCCTTGTATGATTCAGAAATTTGAAAGAAACAAAATTTATAGCGTTAAATTGGGTGAAATCAAAATATGCGATAAGTGAATGAACACAAACTTTACATAGTATCGATTTAAATGGGTTCGCTTTCCTTTAATGGCGGATAACGAATTATAATAAACAAAATTGAGCCGAAGTGGATGAAGAGATAGATAGAGAGAGGGAGAGAGAGAGAGAATGGGACGTTGGCATATTGAAAAAGAAAGTTTAAATGATGTAAAATGATTGCTAAATAGCAGTTAATGCACTTAGATTGGATGGGTGAGTGTTTGTCACGGATCGTAGAAATAATTCGCAGTTTCCAGTTGCATCAATCACTCGACTGGCTCATCAGTCGTCATCCGCAACAGTTAATAAACTAAATATACTAAATTGTCATTATAATCATTATTATGGGGCTCATGAATCAATGTCAACGTAATTTGCAGTTATCGCGTCGACAGTCATCAGTGTCCAGGCATCGATTACGATCAGTGCGCATTTTGTTCATTCGACATTTCTCTCTTTCTCTCCGGATTGCTTGTGCGCGCGCACATTAATTTTGTATTCTACATGCATGTGGAGTCACATTAGATTTAATTCACTCCATTCAGTGGTTGTTGCTTTTATTTTATTTTTTCTTACACTAAATTGACAATTCGTGTTCATATATGAGCAAAATAGTGTCTATTTCTCTATCTCGTTTAGCTTTTTGATGTGGTAAAACGCATACGCAAAACGATCGTGGCATTAAAAATTGGCCAGAAAATGCCACTACATATTCCAAACAATTCGCAATTGTAAATGGACAAACTAATGGCGTGTAGTACAATGACATACAAATGCACATTGTCTTATGTTTTACATCACATTTTCAACATTTCCTATTCGATCTCCTCTCAATCAAACCGAGAAAAAAAAAGAATATACATACTCTATTCGCGTGCGCTCGTACTGAGCTAAAGAAATTACGGAAACAGAAACGTATCACTCGACGCGCAAACAATGAAAAATGATGGGTTCACTCTTTTCTCTCTACCTCTTCTTATTCTTTGTGTTTGCTGTTGTTTTTCGATGAAACAAACGAATTTTTAGCCCTGAAAACAACATGCAACCAACAACAACAGTGTGTGTACGCGCGCGCACTCGTTCGCATTTAAATTTATGGACAGAATATGCCAACTCTGAATGTACTATCAGCTGAGCGAAAGACGAGAGAGTGCTCTCTAGCGTTCGCTCGCGCACCATTCATTGCCATTTCTCTCTATCGTACACAATTGTGTATATGCTTAATTCATGGGCAATGCTGTGTAGCTTGTCGGTTTTGGTGTGTGCTGCGATAGCGCAGCGAGATTGTTGCACTGAGCGTGTGTGTTTGTGCGGTGAAAGAGTACAAACTCACAGCGCAGAGAAAATAGTTCGGCAAATCTTCTGAACATAACATTCGTTACCAAAACGTCGATGCGAGTAGTTCGTATTTAAACGAACCTACGAAATAAATTATTATATTTTCAACGAGAGTGACGAGCAAACAAGCGACAATTAAATTTATTGAAAACTCATCGTTTTGGATATTTAAGTTTCATTCTTTTTGTGGTAGTTTTTGCGTGGAAAATGCATTGATAAAATAAGTTTTGTGCTCATTGGTGACCACGTGCATGGATTAAAGGATATTTAAAGCATAATTTTTTTCGAAGATTTTTTTTTGGAAAAAAGTTTTTTTCAACAAGAAAATTGAAAACTTAAAAAACTGTAAAATTACACTTTTTTTTGAAGTGAGAAAATTAAATTGATCGAATAAACCTGGCGTTGTGTTATAATTGGAGAGGAAAAATTCATATAAAAACAATGTATTTTCGTGTGTTGATAGTGGTTTCATTGTTAAAGCTCGGCGAGTGTCATAATAATTTTTTTGGCACCGCTGAGCTGATGAGAGATTCACAGCAACCACGTCGAAGTCGATTGCTATCTGATTTTGTGGATGATAATTCAAGAAGTGGTTTTGTTCCCGTATCAATTCCATTATCATCGTCAACAGCAACGGTGGCTCGGTCACTTCCAACGGTCAGCAGTGAAAAGCCGTCGACTGAAGAGCCACAACAGAAACCGGAAACCATTGAAGATGTAGAAGGACCCATACCAACGGCCGATACAATGCGAAAGTATGCGCGCATTTTTAAAATGGACGCCGAAACATTGAATGAAAAACAAAAATTACTTTTGCAACGAATTGTGCAACGTATTGCACGATTAAATGGAGCAAATCCAAATGACGAATCAATCGATTTGAATGACAACGAGGGTCGAGCTCGTCGCAAAAATCGTGACGATCGCAAAAAGAATCAAAAGAAAAATGCATTAACCACCGGCGGTAGCACAACCACCAATATTGAAGTGGTTACAGATCCAACGAAAACCACATCGAAAATCAAAACAACATCATTGGGAGGCAATGGCACTGGTGGAAGCAGCAGCAGTGCACAGAAGAAGAAAGTTGCTACAAGCAATAACTATATCTCAATTTCAACGGTAGCCGCTAGTCCAACGATGCCAACAATTGCATCAAAAGTGGGTAAGAGCAAAGTGACACAAGCCAACGATTTAACACTAACAAATGCCACTAGCGTCGATTTGGGCAACATTTCCACCACATCAATTGTCGATATTCTATCAACGGATAATGCACGTGAAAATTTCTACATGCGAAGACCATCACCATCGACGATCACAAATTTACACAATAAAATTCAACCGCAAAAAGTAAGTGTGTGCCATATTTCTTCCATTACATATGTATATCATTATTTTTTGCATGCAAAATCAAAAAAAGCATAAGAGGATGACTTGGCGTATGAAAAAAAAGATGAAGAAGAAGACGATTGAATAAAAAGAAAATCGTGGATTGGTTTGGCATTTCGGGATTTGAATTTCTTCGACGTTGTTTTCACCAATTGTTCTTGGTAACGAAATTATTTTTAGTACATGACACAAATCAATAGATTTTTAAGTGCAGGTAAATGAATGAAAATTGATCGTCGTGTGGAGTTTTTTTTTTCGTCGTTCGTCGAATAAACAGAAGAGTCACGCTTACACAGCGAAAAAAGTGTGAAATGAATGAGGGAAAAAATTAATTGGGATTAAATTGAAAAATTCAGTTGTTATTTGACGAATGTCTGATGGTGAGACAAATATCACATCCATATAATATAAAAATGCGTGACCATATTATACTACTTTGGTTCGATTCAATTCTTTCTACATCTTCACCTTCAGACCTGATCCAAAGCCGATAAAAACGCGAAGCGAGAGTTGTTCAATTTCGCATGGCTAAAATTTTCGAAGTGAAATGTGTGTGTTTGTGTGTGCAAGCAAAGTAAAAATGAATGTAGTCATCACTCGTTCTGATTACATTGTTCGATTTGATGCCGCATAATTGCCCTTAAATCGGCATGCTATTTCTTTTTCATTTCTCGTTACTTTATTCTGCATCTCATGCCCGAAGCATTCAGATGACCGGTCTTAAATGAGTGTGAACACGAAAAAAATTCATCACTTCCAAATTAAAATTAAAAAATTGACCCATCGAAATCACGGCGAACAAATTCATCTTCGTAATGCTTCTGCACGGTGTCTACCTGGGCTGCGTGCGATGCTGGAAACGGCAGTAAATAAAGCTAACGATCAAGAGATTGTTGCCTCTATCAATATCTGTGCGAACTCATTTATAATTCAATTACGATCGAGTATTTTGTGGCTGTTTTTAATGAGTCGTATATTTTGGATGGCGCATCGACGATAAATTTGTAATGTGACCATAAATCTTATTGTCGTTCGTAAACGTAGAATGAACAATTCGAAGAAATACAGAAAGAAGAAGAAACAGTTTTCAATCGGGCAATCGAAGACAAAAATGATGTGGCGCGACGTTACCGCAATGTGAACAAACATCACAGAACAAACAAAAAAACAACTAAAATAAAACCAAATCACATGAGAAAAGCAATAAACCGAATTGAATCAAAAAGACACATGAATCCAGCTAGAAGAAGAGCAAACATTGCGAACGGCATGTATTTTTGTTCTTATTCGCTTAAGATTTTGTTTGTTCAACATGGATCGACTGGCACAGAGACGAGCACTGTTGTTCAAAACCCATTTTTCTCCGATATGTACGCGAAAAGCTCTCGCTAGCCAAAGCTAATCGCCATGAGAGACGCTATTTACGAAGAGTAGCTCAACGACTAAATTACTTTAATAACAAACGTTATTTTTCATTTGAATTCATGTTACTGGATTATTGTGATTTGCTGAAACTTATTGGAGATTATTGTCTGTACATGTTCATCTTATGTTGTGCGGTGCGCTTGAGCATTGATCGTATATTTATGTATATATTGATTCGCCATTTTCAATTCAAATTTAATCCATTTTATTGCATTTTGTGTTGAAATTGTGTTATCTATATAGTATTGAAATGCGATCCATGAAAATCGAAAACGCGAAGGCGATCAATCGACGTATACCAAATGTAAAACGGCGTTAATTTGAACCGATTGAAATCTCTTTATATTCTTTTGCTTTTTTTTATCATTGTCGACATCGTTCTGAATTCCAATGCAAAGTAAGCAATCTCATTAATTTTCCATTGATTCGTTGACAATTTTCTCTCTTAATTAAATACAAAATAGAAACAATTTTCCACTAAATATATTCGCGAATGAAATAGTTGGCAATTGTAACTGAAATTCTGTGCGATTGTTTATCGCGCGCGCAATGAAGAAACAGTTTCAATTCGAAAATAAAAGAAATAATATCAAAAAAGAGAGATCAAATCGTAAGTTCCTACTCTTATGGCAGTCACAAATTCAAGAGAGTGAGCGAACAAAGAGATTTGGGAGTTATCTTTGACAACAAACTTAACTTCATCAAACATATCGATTCAATCGTGGCTAAAGCAACATCAGCACTCGGATTCGTAAAGAGATTTTGCTACGATATTCCGGATGTCAATACTCTCAAGTCATTATATTGCGCCCTCGTACAATCAATCTTGGAGTATGGCTGTTTGGTATGGCTCCCGTACCATGATATACACAAGAACAAAATCGAATCGTGCCTGCGTCAATTCTCAATGTTTGCTCTCAAGGAGTATCCAAATATTTCAAATGACTACAGGATTTCATCGTACAGCACTCGCCTAGGCAAACTAAACATGCAATCACTCCAAAGGCGCCGTATCAACGCATCAATTCTATTCATTTTCGACTTGATGCAAAATAACGTTCACTGCCCATCACTGAAGACTGAAATTGCCCGCAATCAAAATGGACGTAACTTAAGATGTGTGGAGTACTTCAAAATCAATGACAAGAACTTCAAAATCAATCCATCAGTACCAATCAACCAAATGTGCAAAATGTCAAATAAGGTCCACGAACTATTTTCAACGCAATCAAAACGATCAACTTTCAAAACTCGACTTTTAGCCTTAAGCGATGACCATTTTTCTAACTTGTCATTGGTGTCTAACTATAACACTGTTTTCTTTAACGATCTAATGTGATACATTGTGATTTTTGTAAAGATGTAAATTATTTATTTATCCAATTATTTATTTAATTATTTATTTATTAATTATTTTCTGACTCATTGTAACCGCGTGCAATTTGAAAATGTTTAGTATTTATAAGTGTTTTTTGCTGTTTGACAGTAATTTGAACAGTTTACTATTAACTATTTAGCTATTACTGTAAGAAGTAGCTAATTAGTTATTAGAAATCTTTATTAAAAGATGTGGTTTTTAACGGTGATCAGATGTATACCAAATGTGTATCATTGATTCATACCTTTTTCCCACCAAACAAATGTATAAAAATTATGTACAAACTCAAAAGATTCAGCCAGTTTTGGCGGTGAATAAATATTATTATTATTATTATTATTATAATCACAACCGCAAAATCACAAACAATTTCTTGGACTTTTCATTAATTCTCTCTTTCTTCGCACTTCTCGACATTGCTTTTGTCTTTGTACATGTTTCGGTTATGCAGCAATAGCACTATTTAAAACGGAATTCCGTTCAACCATTGGCATTGCTATCATATCTTCAAATGCATATAATGGTGTATATTTTGCTACAAACACAGCATTCTCTCTCTCCCTCTCTCTCTCTCTCTCTCTCTCTCTCTCTCTCTCTCTCTCTCTCGTTTTTGTGTTGTTGTTGGTGTTGCGCGCGCGTCATTTGATTCGATTTGTTTTGATTGTGGCTGCAGCAACATTTCAATAGACAGCAAAAGCAGTTCACATTCAAAGAGATACTTATGGTCTAATCAATATCAAGATCATTAATATGCTTATTATTGTTATTGCTGAACCGAATTCAATATCAACATCATGCAAAATCCTATTTTGTGGCAAATATTTTTTCCCCTCTTCCTTCTTCGTTTACTTATTGCTGTTTTTTTCGGCTATTATGTTTCTTTTACATCGTCATTGTGCTCTCGATCGTAATGATCACATCTTATTTGCTTGTATTTCGTGTTTTTCATTCTATTTGATTTTATTTTATTCGGAGCATTCCTTCGAACCGTTCAATTCTATTTTTTTTCTACAGAAAGACAGATACTCTGTCGCTGTAGTGTTTTTCCACACATTTTAGCAATGTAAACAGCAAAAATTAAGCACCTAATGACTTGAGCGCATTGTTAATAATGAGTATCGAAACATTGCGTCCATGTTTGGAGCGAAACACAAACAAAAACAAAAGACAAACAAGAGAGAAGACAGTGAGAGAGAGAGAGAAACGACCACAATTGATATTGAGTGTAGAACAATCGATAAAAATTTTCCACGCTAATGCTGTCTGTGGCTGTGCAATACAGCCACGGACCTTACGACCTGCAAACCGAATTTTAAACAAAACCGAAATACACACACATTCGTTGGACGTGCAATGCACATGCAAATAAACGATGCAAAATAATTCCAAACCAAACGATATTGGAAGCACACACTACCGCTGTGTCTCTCTCTGTGTGTACTAATTTCTTATGACGATGGCGCCGCGACTTTTACACATCTTAAAATCACATTATTCTTCGCTTTAGCTATTACGATATGCAAATCAGCCAGTGTGTGTGTGTGTGTTACGGCGATATCCGCAACCAATTTTCAATGCAGGCTACATTTAGAAAAAGTTCTTACTTTTTGCACAATTTCAATGGGATAAGAAAAAATTATTGCATATTGATAGAAACATTTAACCATTTTAATATTGGTCGGTTGGTGTGTACGACGGCGTCATTGCAACTAAATGGAAATAATAAAAAAAATGTATAGAAATAAAGTCGGAAATTCGACCGAGGAAGAGAGAGGGGACGAATAGAATGAGAAAGGTAGTAAAAAGCAGTCTGAATTCTGATTGTGTGTACAACATTCATGTACACAAATATAAATTCAAAAAGATCCTTCTTTAACTTTGTCGTTCGATTGAATGAGAAAATAGAACATTCACGGTTTGTTTTTGTTTTCTTATCCAATGAATTAGACATTCACATTGTCTTTATACGTATTTTATTGCCCACACTTCACAACGCATCAAAGGTAGAAGAAATTCACCTTTGTGCATAAATCTATTGAACAGTTTTGCCATTTACGCCGCAGTCCATTCGCCGCCTTTTCGTTGCAGTTGTTATTCATTCTCGCGAGCTGATTCATTGAATCTGGCATTTGTGCACACACAGAGAGAGAGATGAATA